AAGAAAAGCCTCTCCACGTCGGCCTAGGCATTGATGGAGCCTGGTTCTAGCTTGTGAAAGCATTCAAAGGATATCCTTTTTAGGTTGTCGATGAATAGTCGGGTGAGAATGGCGTCATTTCCTGTGAGGAATTTCTTCTGAGACAGGAAGTAGTAGATATGTTCGGAGGGAGATCCCTTGCCATCAAACTGGACTAGGCTCATTGGTTTAAACTTTTTTCAGGTAGGAAACCGTGTCTCATTCGAGCGGATATGGTCTAACCACCCCCGGCTTATTCATATTCTTCTGAAGCTTGAGGGCGTTGAGCTAACTCTGGAATTCATCGAATCTCTTGTCCTGAGGAGTGCTGCTAGAGCAAGACATCCTTTCTGAAGATTCGTGGGAATAATTCGAACGTGATCCATGATTATCCTCTTCTTCAGTCATGTGAGGAGGAGTAAGCTCTCGCTCTGTGTTCCTCGAGGGTCTTTGTCGGTTCCATGAAGTTCTCTTCTTCTTGTTGTTGTTCAGAAGTTATGCCATCTACTCTTTTAGAGAGTTGATGGTCGCCTGCTGCTCCTTAAATTTTTTGGCCAAGTCTTCCGAGGATTCTGCCATCTGTACCTTTTCATGCTTGCCGTAGGCTGAGCTTGAGGTTTGAGATATTGATGTTGCTGAGCACACCTCATCCTTATTATCGTAGATAGGCAACAAACGGACATAATCAAATAGGATAGCCACTCCTGTTTGAAGGTGAGTGTGTTGGTGTACACCCCTATTTTAACAAGTGGCCATCTGAATCCCGAGGTATATTCAGGATTTATATTCAGGATTTGATGAATCCGAATGCCATGATTTATCCTTCCCTGCTATATTGATTGCGGCTATCGGGAGCTCTAAGGCATTGACAACTTGCTTCTTCTGACGATTGAGTCTCCGGTGAGGAGGTCTTGGTTTAGGAGACTGTTGAGAAAGCCTCTCGAACACTGATGGCCTCGGTGGCTCGGTGCACTGGCAGTCAGCAAGTACCGCCTGGATGAGTCTCTCACAATGGCACTGAGGATTGGTCTCCTGAATAGTATGCTTGCGAGTTAGATGATCCCAGAGATCCCCTGTAGGTTGGTGGTGGCAACCCCTAGCATTAGAAGGACCATATTTGCAGTTGCTTGGAGGGGACTCAACAGAGACGACAAGAGAACACTTGGGGAATTTCCCAAGTGTTGACTCCACCTAACCTCGTCGAGACAGGCGGGGTCTAGAATGTTGGTGAGCTCTAACTGATTGCTGGTGAGCTCGGGGATCTTAGCAACCCTCAGTCGACTGCTGGCGAGGTCTGGGCAGGGTTCGTCTACTTGAGGATGTTATCCGGCTGTGTCTTAGAACCTGCTCAACTTAGGCGGCTTGCTTGACTCGGTCGTGTACCTTGAAGGATGGAGTCGGCCTGAAATAGGAGTGGGCCCACCTGAAACGTCGGGCTTGCCTGATCTGGAATGTCGTTTCAAGGAACGAAGCCCGCCTGATTTGGTGGGCTCGCATGAACCATTGACTCTGCCCAGATGGGAGAGTCTGCTGCTGGAGTGGAGCTCGCCTGAAATGTTAGGCTAGCCTGAGACATTGAATCTGCTAGCTTTGGGGACTCGGTTGACAGAGGGGAGCCCGCCTGAGCTAGTGGTCTCACCTGATCAACGTCGTCCGCCGAAACTAGGGACTTATCATCCTTACTTGGCACTTCTCAGACCTGAATAGTAATTCAGGCCATCATAGGAAGTGATGGCTTGGGCCTCCTGACAGACGAGAGCTTGTCATTGACGTCGCTAGGCTCTTCTGGAGAGGGGACGACTTGCGTCGACAGCAAAGGCGAGGTCGCCAACGCGCACCGAGGTCTCTTCTTGCATGGGGGACTATGCGGGTTGCTTGGTGACCCATCGAGCAGTAGGTCGACCTACTCGGTCGGCTGTCGGTTGGCTTGTCTGGTTGGCTGTCGACTGGCTTGTCTGGTTGGTTGTCGACTGGGGTCTAGCTGGATTGGAGGGGGCAGAACCTCCTGCTATAGCTCGAGTAGAGCTCTCGAGCATGGTTGCCTCGACCACTTGTGATCAGGCTACATGCACGACTCTGTGGTATCAGCAAGAATCCTTACCGCTAGAGGAGGAAGAAGACAAGTACTCTTCATATTTGGCTTGATCGAACTCGATCATGAGGGACTCGACGGTTGTCCCTTCCACATCGTCATCGTACTATTCCACCACCATTTCGGTTGAAAAAATGGTTCCTCCCATAATGGTCGCCATCTTCTGTAGGCTATAAAATTCAGGTCTTAATGTGAGATTTGTATTATCTGTGTGTTAAATCTGAATTTATAACAGAAGCGGAGAGAAGAATCTCCTTGTTTAACGTGGGTTCTTCGATAGCGGGAGGATGCCTTCCTCGGTGTTTGAGCCGAGTTTGCTTCCCTTAGATGATACGATCGAAGTTATGGTTGAGCTTCAGTTCTCAGTAGAAGCTCTAATATGATCGGGTTCAAGTCTACCCGAGGTCAAACGAGTGTTTGTACTTGTCAGCCAACTACTCGATTGTCGGAAGCCAGCTACCCGAGCTTGATAGATATCAAGGTTGGAAACTTAGAGAGGGCTATAATGCAAAAGTTTGTAGAGCCAATGAGCCTCAGATCTGAGATTTTAGATTGAGTCTACTTCAACAATCTAAGTTTGCAGCCAAGAACGTTCTACCAAGCAAGCTAATCAAATGCCAGCAAGTTTGGTCTAATTCAAGCAGCCGCCGCCTCAAGTCTCTATTCGAAGAGCCTTGAGAATGAGATATGCCAAGCCCTGGTCCGATTTTAGTCTCAATGGTCAAGTCCCAATGAAAGCCAAAAAAAAGACCCAGCCTCCTCCACGTTGGCTGAAAGTAACTTTAAATAGGTATTGGATGGCATGGGTCATCCCTTGATTTGTGGAATGTGACCACTAGTAGGGGTGAGGAGCACTAGCCGCCCTAGCTACGGGATATGACCGCTTAGGAGGGGGCCTACCAGCCGCCCTAGCTATGGGATGTGATCACTTAGAGGTCTTGTCAGCCACCCTCTTCTTGTAGCCATCAATGACTATTTGTAGAGTAGGAGAGTTCCTTGATCTGTGGGATATGGTCATGCCTAGGTGAGGCGCCCCATGCTCTCCTCCTTGATTCGTGGAATATCACCAATGATGTGATTGTTCTCATACCCTAAATGGACCGTTGTCAAACGTGCTGACGAGGTCAGACTTGTGCTGGCGAGTTGACTTCTGGCAGGTCTGATCCATGCAGATGGGTTAGCCAAACAGGCGGCATTGGCGAGTCGGCCAAACAAGTAGGGCTAGCGATTTAGACTCGTATGGGTGGGCCCAATATCCAGATGGGACCCCAAATCGTGCTATCGAGATGGTCGAGTTGAATGTTGGTATGTGGGCCTCCCAACTCGTGCTGGCGAGCTGGTGGCTACTTGACTCTGGGTCGACTGGGTCCGCTCTTCATGTTGACACGAGGGTGTCATCTCGAGGGGCGAACTGACACGCTCTTCATGTCAACACGAAGGGTCTCAGCCATTTGGTCGTTTGGAAAAGGGTGAAAAAAAAAAAGGAAAACCCCCTCGGGGAAGAGGAGTCGACAAAGGCCGCCTTTCGTGTCGACTAAGCGGTCTCGACTCTAGGTCTCGGACCTCGAGACGACTAAGGCCACCTTTCAAGTCGACTTAGTGGTCTCAGCTCGGGGTCTTGGGGTCTCGGGCCTTGAGTCGACTAAGGCCGCCTTTTGAGTAGACTAGGAGGTATCGCCTCGGGGTCTCGTCCCGAGGTCTTCAAGGTGAGGGCGAGTCGACATAGGGAGTCTTGTCTCCTTAGCCTCGTAGTCTTGAGCTTCAAGACGGCTGAGGTCGCCCTTCGATTCGACACGAGAGGTCTTAGTTCTCGAGTCGACTAAGATCGCCCTTCAAGTCGACATGAGAGGTATCGGCTCGGGTCTCATCCCGAGGTCTTCAAGGTGAGGGCGAATCGACACATGGAGTCTTGTCTCCTTAGCCCCGTGGTCTTGAGCTTCGAGGCGGCTGAGGTCGCCCTTCGAGTCGACACGAGAGGTCTCGGTTCTCGAGTTGATTAAGCTTGCCCTTCAAGTCGACACGAGATGCCTCGGTTCTTTGATCTCGTCCCAGGAGGTTTCGTCAACTTAGGCCTTCAAAGTGCTAACTGAGATCGCTCTTCGAGTCGACGAGGGGTCTCGAGTCGTCGGAGTCGGATGGGCCGACTAGTAAAGTTTGATTTCGAGTTGCCCATAAATTTTTGGATAGTGGGGTTTAAATAATTGTTTGGCCCAAAAAAAAATTATTTGAGTGTTTGCTTTATTGCTCAGAAAATTTTATAATTTTTATTTAACCTAAAATGGAAAAATGGATAAAGAAATAGGAAGTCTACTTTGGTAATTCCTGGTTGAGCAGTAATACCTAATAATTTACTAATTTCTCTGCGTTACGGGTCAAGGAGAAGATTAAGAAGTGGTGGGGGAAATATTTTAAATAGCTTTGCGGCCTCCATTTGAAATCACTCGTCTCGATTGAATCCCTTGATACCTCTCTTTTTTTCGTCGGACCTTTGTATTAGGGAGAATTGTATCCACAATGGATATGAATTATTGCCACTCTAGGGGAGAGATCACTACTTAATGAAATTCAAAAGTATTGATTTATCTACTGAGTGATTGTGATTTGTTCTAGACATATCATTCACCAATATATCTACGAATTACGCTCATTCTTTTTTACTAAAATCATTTGTCATGTGGGATATAAATAGTGTTCTCTCCTCTATTTTTTTTAGGTCTAATCCGATCCACAACATCCTATTATTTGTCATGTGGGATATAAATAGTGTTCTCTCCTCTATTTTTTTTAGGTCTAATCCGATTCACAACATCCTATTTTGCATGGAAAATTTGAAGCTTAGAGCATATTCATGCTCAAGTATTGACAATCTGTCTCCCACGATTAACAAACATAATCAAAGAAGCTACTGAGACTAACTACGTCTATTCATTAAGTTCCAATAGCCATTAGATAAAGCTCATTTACAAATAAGTACCCTGCATAACTCCAAATAAGTTCACTTCACTATATCCTTATTCATTCTTCAATGTCATAGTAATGCTTAATCGCAGCGCCACAGAGCACAGCCAGTGTCAGAGCTTGAGCATGAATCCTGAAACCCAAGAAAATAATATATAAATAACTAAATCCATAAAAATTAGAAGCTCGGCTGAAATTATTTCTACATCCAAATAGGAGTTCAAACTCAGAAAGGCCCTTGTGATTTGCGCTGTTACTCTATTAAGCCCCAAGACTATTATTTGGATCTATTAAACCCCTATGCTTTTTATTTTGAATCTATTTAGCCCTTATGGTGTTTCTCCATAACTAAAAAAAAAGGTATTTTTGTCTTATTGAATCTACTTTTTAGTTATGGAGAAACACCATAGAGGTTAAATAGATTCAAAATAAAAAGTATAGGGGCTTAATAGATCCAAATAATAGTCTAGGAGCTTAATAGATTTATGGCGCAAACCGTAGGGGTCTTTCTGAGTTTGACCTCTCCAAATAGCTGTCAAACAACCCAGCACCTTGCATGAATCAAGCAAAGGCTGGGTTTCATAGCGCTTCTCTTGGCGTTGTAAGCTAAAGAAGCTCCCACTGCAGAAGCCCACATTGTTCCTGAAACAAGAAGAAAACTCTCAAGGATTCACAAAACTTTCATTTTTATTGCAAAAAAAAATAGAAGGAATTTGAGTGTAATTTATGAATTTGCTTACCAATGCTTGTGAGCTTGTGCTGAGAGACCCATGTTTGCAGAGAATCCATTTTGTTCTGGAGGCAAAAAGGATAGATGAGAAAGAGAGAATGAGTTTTGGAATGATGAGGAAATGCGTTGGGCTGTAGATATATATAGCCGTAAGTTTCCCATGGTTTTAGTGTATAAAGTTAGAAACCAGGGACTAAGATAATTTTGAAAAAAACTAGCAGCAGGTTGGGGTTCTGTTGTTGTCCAACGTGCTACTTTCCTAGAATCAGAGGCCCGCAGGAATAATAATAATGATAAAAGAGAGGATGAACCGCTATTGGCTCAGGTCAGATTTAGTCAAAGGAAAATATTACAGATTACCGTTTGTTCTGCTGCTGGGATTTTAAATATGAGGTTGAAGGAAATCATATTGCAAAAAAGTATGATATGAATAATTCATTTTTCGGTCCAACGTGAAAATCATGGACACGGTAGATTCTTAGATAATGAATCCTCTCCATCGCCAGAAAATAGTGGAGTAACCCTTGCTTTTATTTTGAGCGTCAATTTGTCTACTAGGGTGGTTGTTGATTCATTCTGAAAATAGNNNCCCCCCACCCACAAAAATAAATAAATAAATAAATTACATTCATTCATCTTACATTCAAAGGCACATCATAATTATTCACTAAATAAATCAATGATTGTCATGTAATAGCGATCTACCTACTTATTAGTAGTAGTAGAGAGGACCGGAATTCTAGACTATGTGACGAGTCGTCTTAATCTCTACACAATTTATAAAGTAGAAAGAAAGCCTAAATCAAATTTATCAAAACGACCAACTCATTTTTATCTTTATAGATCTAGAGACGGAAGCAATCTCACTAGGAACAAGGAGGAAATTGATGAACTTGGATATCAGAAATGATAATAAAGGTGCAATTTACCCGTGCAAAGAAGCCAAATAACGAATCATAATTCTTCTTAAATCTGAAGGTTCATGTAGTATTATTGCGCTGAATAAAGCTAAAGATTATTTTATGGAGAAAAAAAATTCTTTAGAAAAGTGCATTGCTCATGGATATTCTTTGGCTGATCTCAAAACTCCCATACAGGCAACATTCATGAAATTGCCAAATCTGCAAGAGAAAAATCAAAAGAAAATAGGAAAAAAAGAAGAAAAAGCTTGTAATATCACGACAAATCCATTAGGATCAAGACCAAATAACCCAAGCATGAAGCATCTAAACGTACCTAGATGCTATTTTCCAACCGTACAGAAGTTTTTTGCCTTTTCACTCTTCGTCTTTTCAAAATTTTCTTTCCAACCTTTCCATGCTATTCTTACTTCATTCAACTCCTCCTCTGGGATGCTTGTGTGCTTATCCAAGTTGTCTACCCATTCTTTCCATGGGGATTTGGATGGATCTAAGAACTTTGAGAGCTGAGGCAAAATCACAGAAGAGTAGAACTCATCAACTTCCTTCTGGATTTCTTCAGATTCTACAATTCTTCTCATTTCGGGGCGAGTCATATTTCCAGGACGAGTTCTGATCGCAAAGCTGTTGCCCTTGAGAAGTAGAACTTCAGATGGAGCAAGAGGTAGAACAATGCGAGAAAACTTGGCAACGGACAACTCTAGTATATCCCGTGGTAGCAATCCTCGTTTCACTGCAACTGCAGTTCCGACCATTTTCCGAATCTGTGTGGAGAAAAAAGATACATAACAGAACAAGCAATTATTAAAAGGAATCCATATATGCAGGAATAAAAACAAAATAATACTGATTTATGCAATAACAACCATACCAATGCTTTTTATCTCAAATTTGAGGTCATCTACATGAATCATATTATTCAATTCAATTCAGATCTATTAAGGGTCATCTCCTTAATTAAGTTAATGGCTACCATATCCTTCTCAATTGCTTCCACTCAAGTTCTCTTAGGGCTACCTCTAGCCTTTTTTCCCTCATAATCTATAATTTTATCACTTCTCTTGACTGGCGCCTTTAAAGACCAAACTATAGCAACCAATTCTCTTATTTTATTCTCAATGATACTTCTTACATGACCAAAAGTGCTGCACAATGGTACCTAATATATGGCCATTCTGTGAGCTTGGGAGTTGAGATTGCTCAACAATCCATAATAGTGCCAGCAATCAGACACCCCTTTTATTATTGCAGGGAAAGTGAAAGGTCAAACCCCTTATATTTCTTTGAAGAGTGATGTTAATTGCACTATGAATTTGATAGCGTAAGACACAAATATCTTTTAAAATAGAGACCATGGATTTTCATTGTAATTTACCAGGGAGGACCCCACGATGCTAATGCCTTTAAAATAGTATTATAGTAGTATGAAATTTGTTCTACAGTTAGCATTACTCTGACATGGATACTCATATAACATCCTACAGACTGAAGTCATATAAAATCTTGACCAGGGGGCTCAGTCAATTATAATAAAACTCCAAAAACTCATATGTCATGACAATTGACAAGTATTCTCCGTATAGACTACTATGTTCTAGGACCTGCCTCCTATAACTGAATATGTTACAAGGTAAGGATATTGTTGCAAGGTATTATCTTATAACAAAAATGTACACAATTAGAAAATTACAGATAATTATTCTAATCGTACAAAACAAAAGCTAAGATACAAGTGAAATGCTTACTTGGTGAAGCATGAAGGATTCCCCACAAATCGAGACTTCAATATAATTGAATCCTGATGACTTCTCAAACTTCCCACAAGAACATTCAAAGATTTTTCTGAAGTGGGATCCACTAATTCTATCCATTTCGTCAGGTTCATGAAGCCATCTCGCTTTAACAACTAAAGAATCTGAACTTCTCAAAATATCCTTTTGTTTTCCAAGAGAGGCATATTCATGAAAACCAGATTCACCATTACACATGGAATTCAAATGTTCTTCACACTGATCTGTTGTATCCTCCTCATCGCTCCCTATGACCTCAGATGCCATTTTATCCTGATACAGTCTAGATCTTCTCATATTGTGACTCTTTCCAGGAGTCTGCTGCCTATATTTGGAACGAACAGTGTAGTTATGGAAAGCATGCTCTCCCTGCAGAGGGGGAAGGGGAAGGGAAGAAAAGAATAAATGACTATACTGGTTACAGCATTAAAGATAAAAGTTTTGGTAATCACAATTATGACTATGAAAACAAGCATCCGAAAATTTCTAGGCAACTTCAGCATTTGGATACTTTCTAGAGCTTTTATTCTGTACTATCTTCACAAGAATGAGCTACAATTACATAATTTATATTTAGACTAACCTAATACGTAGTATGTATGTAAATGCTGCATTTTCATAAATGTGATAAAAGGATCTGCTTATAAGAAAAGTATTTCAGTAGGAAGGCGAATATCAGAATCGGTCCATTTTTAGGCTATGTTGATATATCAGAAAAAATATTCTAGTCGTCAAAGGAAATAATTAAGTATGCAGTAGAAAATGGATTACCTCGAAACAATTCAATATGCTACTGAATTCTGTTAGATGGTTATCAATTTCCAGAGAACCACAGTCCCTTGTGATCCCAATAACCTCTGCAGGAAGGAGATATGAGTACATACGGATTGTGCATTCCCTTCTTGCATCAAAACTCCTGAAAAGGAATAAAAGAAAACAACAGAAGGTGTCAATAAGCTTCTGGACGCCTTTCACCTCTTCAAATCCTCTACAGACTGTATCATGTATAAACAGTCTAAAGAAAGCAATTTCTGCTTAAGCTTGAAAAATATTCAGATTCACTGTTTTTCTATTACATGTTTCTGAGCGGATAAGCTATGTGCAAGAAAAGTTACTCATAGCACATAGAGCTGTCTTATTTAGTTAATAGAGGATGGAAAGTATAATAAAAATGATTAAACAAGTTAAGTTTCTCATCAAGATTCATGACTACAAGACAGATCACAAGATCGCTGCAACTAACAGGTATCAAATAATTAGCAAAATTAATCGCACGATGTTTTATGCATACCCAATGTCACAAGGCATAATACTCATTACAGATAAGTACTCTGATACTTTTTTTATTTCAAATTGAATAAATAATTGAATTTACAGTCGTACATAAATATGGCTTACCCTTGGGAAGGTAAAATGCTGAAGACTTTGACATTCTTAGGCAAATTCATGTTAACATAACTTGCCAGTGCAATACCGTTAGGATCTTCCTGCCATGCATGTTCAGGTATCTCCATCTTTAATGAAATCATAGTTGCCAAGGAATGGACCTAAAATGTACCAAATATGAGAACATATAGAACCACAGAAGCCTCATGCAAACTGTTTATACTTTATAATATAAATACACGTTGAAGAGAAGAATACTCTACACTCATATAAAAAAGATGCAGACAAGTACTTAAGAAAGATAAGACATGTTGCCAAAAATAATTTAAGTTTCAGATGTTTACCCACAATTTTGCGTATACTATCTACAAGAGGTTCTTAGTTGTGCCTCACAAATGCACTCCACCATTCAAATTTTATAAAACATATTAAAAGGGGGAAGTTAGATGTCTTAGTTAGAATAGGCTGTAGCATGGGTATTTCTATCATCAGGTCATATCCAGCAGACAGAATAAACAGCCCACATCTTCCAAACTCCTTAGATGGGTGTCAAGTAATGGTCTCCTTATATCATGCTATGAAGTAAATTTAATTTCCATTACCTTTTGGACACTCCGCAAAAAATTCTAAGGAACTTTTTGATGCTGGTCATAACACTTATTTTACACTTCTTGCTCAATGATACATGAATTTCCTTCACATGTTAAAACCAAGAGTTTGACATATTTAACAGGAATACAAAACAAAAATATGGACTTCTATACAAAATTAATACATTTCAAATGTCTCGAGAAAATGAGAAAGACAGAGAGACTTAAGGCCTTTTCAAATTCGAAGTCCTATAATATGTAAGTGAACATTATGCCTTCTTATTATTATAGAATTTAGGAATGTGAGTTTGCAAGTCTATGCTATATGTGCACTATGATTTCGAGAGGAATGACTATGTGCGTTTATGTACTCTCCTTAGACACATTTGCACACAGTTCTGACATTTCTGCATACTTTTCCTATTTTTAACGAATGCTCATGTGGCCAAGTCCTTGTAAAGCTCCAGTATAAACTGTTCTAACCTAAGTTCACAGAAATATATCTTACACAATTGCACTTATGGTTTGAAGTTACAGATTTACACAGGAAGAATTATTAACTAAGAACACAGTTCTGACTGATTATAAGTTTGTAATTATAGCTTGAAGTGACTTGGCAGTTTAGAAAATTTCTCACACGGGAGAAACCAGAACCCAGAAATGAATAGTTTACTGTAAAGAGTCCGCTATAGAAGTATAATAGTTTCAGCCTTTCATGTACCGTAACACTTAGGCGGCTATTATTATTTTCTGAAGGTTAAAATGAGAAACATCATTATCAGTTATCTTTGCAAATGAAATTTAGTATGTTATTTTGCAAAGGAAAATAAATTCAAGTTGTATATTGGAGAGTATTACTTAATTCTTTAAGTGGAGTTTGGTCAAACTAGATCTGTATAAGTATAAATACATGGAATCTTGCAAAAGAATCAATTTGAAAATTTGGACATGCAGTTTGAAATAACATTGATTATATATACCCAGTGTAATAGATTCAGATACAAACTGTGTTTTTAGGAGGATGAATGCATACAAATGTATTCTCTTCTGAAAGTACCAGAAATGGTGAAGTATTAGATATAAATAAGATCGTAAGCAAGACTTGGTATGTAGGAACCTTTGCCAGGGCATATAACTTTCCACTACAGAGAATAACCATCAATAAAAAACATTGTCTAAAAGCTAGATGGCTTTTTTGTTTTTCTTCCGGATTTACCCTTCATTTTTCAATTTATTTTCAGCCTTAACATCTGAAATTTGTTTTGGGCAAAGGATATTTCAGGGAGTTCAGGCCAAATTTCATCAAATACTGTTCATCCCAAATCTGCCCTCTAGATATTTTCTCTTTATCACTTCTTAGGCTTGAGGGTATTTTGGGAAAGTAAATATTAACTCCTTTTTATGGCCTTCCCCTCTTCCATTGATGTTCGTTCTAGGGTTTTGTTGTTTGTGTTTGCCATCGACAATCCAAAGAGGAGCTCGAGTGATCGCGGAGAAAGCAGCCAAGAAATCACAAGAAATCACAAAAGAAGCAGCCAAGAAATCGCAAGAGCTCACCAAAGGCGCGGCCAAGTTCTCGCACGGGAGAAAAAGGAAACGACTTTATTGGGAAATTTGGGTATTTTTACTGATTTTTTTGCTCGATCTTGCTATAGAGGCGATCTAAGGTATGATTTCTTCTCATTTTGGGTATTCTGTAGTCCTCAAAAGTCTCAAGTAGCTTCACCTTCCCCCAACCTCCATTTCCTACCCTCCCTTCAGTTTTTTTCAATTTTTAATCCTACTATTTATTTACAACTCCATCGCAGATCCATCGATCACCTGAACGAAAAAAGAAGAAAAAAAGGAGGAAAACGAAAAAAAAGAGAACATGAAGTACCTCGTCGAAGTTGAGAAGGGGGCGCAGGGCTCCGATGGCTGCCCCTCCGTGGGACCCACTTACAGGAGCATCTTTGCCAAGGAAGGCTACCCTCCGCCCATCCCCGGCCTCAAGAGGTGCTGGGATATCTTTCGGTAAATTTAATTTTGTTGTTTTTTTAAATTTATTCTATTCTTTTCTTATTTTTGGGAAATCTTGATTATATTCTCATCAATGCTACTTTTCTATTTACTAGATTGAGTGTTGAGAAGTATCTTGATTCCTGAGAATCGAATGCTCGGCCGCCGCGAGATCTTTGAGGGCAAGGTACTGGTTTTGAGCTTTTCCCCTCTTTATGGGTTTAGTTGCTGATTAATATTTTTGTTGTTTCTATTTTAGGCGGGTAAATATGCGTGTATGACTTACAAACAAGTGTATGACATCGTGATGAAGCTTGCTGCTTCGATTCGTAGATGCGGCGTTGAAAAGATCAGTTCTTTTATGTTCACTTTTAGTTTTATGTATAATATCAAACAAGGGCAGGGTTTTGGATGGATAAATTGGATCGATATTTTTTATGATAATTAGAAATTAAGCAGAAGTAGAATGTTTTTCATCTTTTTTAAAAAAAATAATATTTAAGAGACTTATTCTCTGATTGCCCTACAAAAATAAAGATAACTTCACTTCTCTATTCGTTGAAAAGGTAAACCGTTGATTTTTATGAGTTTGACTGTTTAATAAAATGGCAATAAAAATAAAAAAGTTATCCAAGTAAAATTGAGTGTTTATTGGAGACCATTATCATCAATATATTGCAACATGAGTGAGGTGCTCGGTATTTGTCTTGAGTTCCAAATATTTCTCACTGTTTTCTTGCAAGAAAATCTCCATGCTAAAAAAATTATTAGTTTGGTCTGAGAAATTTACTCTTTATGAGTTTTGTTCAATATAAATTGATTGGGAAACGACAAATTGAACTAGACCTTCATTAGCTTTACACTGTTCACGTGGTCATTTCCCCTCTTGCCCTTCTCTCTCTTCTAATTGTATTCATATTTAGTAACTTGATGAACACTTTGGACTAAAAATAGGTTCTCTTGTCCTCTTTGGGCTTTGACGAACCCAAAATAACCCCTCCCTCACCCGAGCCCATGCCACTCCCATCCCTCCCATCCCATTGAGACAGAACAGGGGGCCTTCCCAAAATGTCCTTGAATCTAAGAGGTGAGGGAGAGTGTTGAGTGATGTGATTAGAAGCATGATGGTCAAGGAGGTGATGGACTTGGGATTTGTTCGGGAGATAAAAAGGAGGTAAAAAGTTAAGTACTCTCTCCTCAAAATTGATCCCTACGTCTGACAGAAGCCTAAATCCTTCAAAGATCATCATCAAAAGAAGAGATCTATGGTTGAATATCATCAACCTCACAAGTAAGTATCATTCATTCAAGAAGATGGAACATATTATTATAATATATAGTAAGTATTTATATGCCTCCATATTGTAATATTTACCTTTCATGATGTGAATGTTGTAGAATACTAACTTTTATATTGAACTTGTGATTGCAGGAACTTTATAAGTCACAATATACATGACAACTGATCAAATTTTCTGAGATGCAAGCAACCTACAATGTGCACACATTGTATTAGATGGCTATTACTATGGGTTATTAAGGCTTCGTTTGGATACCATAGTGTTTTCCTTGTTGTGTTTTCATAAAAAAACAACATGGTGTTGTGTTTTCTCTTAAAATGTTTTCAAGACACCATGTTAAGTATTTTTAATCAACACTAGTTTGACCCATTATAACATTAGTATTAAACATATTATTAATATATTATACATTAATTATAAAAATGTTATAATATTTAGTTTACATTATTATAGTATTATAAGTATTAAATGTAATGCAATATAATATTGTATAATGTATTATAATATTATATTGTACTTTAATGAGTTATATTATATTATAATTATTACATATTATTTTCAAATAATTATATATTTAATTATTTTGGTATATCAATTTGTTATTGTTGTATATTATATTAATATTTTTATAATAATGTTATTTTATTATTAATATAATATAATATTATTAATAATGTTAATATTATGTTATTACTAGTACGTTATTAATAAATTAATATGTTATAAATATTTTAACATTATATAATATATTATAGTTTTTAATATGTTAGAGTTTATTAATAGTACTTTAATAATATATTAGTATTTATGATATAAATAAAAATTATTATATTATGAATATATTCGCACGTGAGGCGGGGCGCTGCACGTAGCGATGCTCGCGCCTCGCGTGCGCCTCACTCGCGCCTCACGTGTGCCTCGCACCTGCGTTATGTAACATACTCTTTCTTCTATTTTTTTTAAAATAATTTATATAATTACATATTTATATCATGTAATATACTATTTCTAACTAGTTGCTAATCTATTTTCATCTTTTCATGTTTAACCTATAAAAAAAATAATTAGTAATTTAGTATACTTGTTTGCTAATTGTAACTTCCTTCTCTAATTAGCATGCTAACTAGCAAATTATGAACATGTAAATATGTAATTGTTACATTCATTTTTCATCTTTTCATGCTAAGTAGCAAATATCAATTAAGAATACTAACTAAAAAATTATGAACAATTATGTTTGTTAATTATATTTCTTAGTCTTTTTATGTGACAATTTATAAACATATGCTCATAATTGTTAATCACTTAATTTGATGATTTAAATATATGTTTCTTGTATCTTTTTTGTTACTTTAAAAATTCAGTTAACATAATTTGATGATTTAAGTTGATATTCTCATCATTTTGAATGTAGGTAACTAATATGTTGCTTATATATTTTTATCTTATGATGTTGGCAAATATTAGTTTGAGTTATGCGCCTCAATTAGTGAGGCACGCGTCTCATTGTGCGCCTTGCGCATGGTGCGCGTAAGGGACCTTTACGCCCCACTTTACGCCTTGCGCCTCAATAACACTGATTAGACTATTATATAATATATTATTATATCATTATTATGTTGATAATAACTCTATATTAATTACATTTAATATATTATATTAGATATTATATTAACACGTTCTCAAACTCAAAATCAAAACACCAAACTTAAAACACCTAAAATGTGTTTTGAAATAAGTGCTATGTTTTTTGTTTGATGATGGTTTAGCTCAAAAAACATCATGGTTTCCAAACGCATGGTGTTTTGTTTTTGACAAAAACACCATCAAGGTTGCTGATAGCGGATTGCGGCGCGTCGCGGCGAGGTACCGCTAAGGCTATATCGGGCTATTGTGGCGAAATCGCGGCAAATAGCGTACAGTCAAATAGCGGTCAAATTTAAATATATTTAAATATCCTAAATAATAAGAAAATTCATAAAAAATCTAAAAATTCAATTAGTTGTAAATTTCTTGTATTATCAATAAATAACAATTAATAAGCTTGTTGTATGAATGAAACTATGAAGAAATTCAAGAAATATAGCATCATAATATGTGTGATAGCGGGTTTAGCGGGTTTAGCCGCTTTTAACAACAAAAATCCGCTTTTAACCGTGAAAACCCGCTTTTAACCGCGAAAACCCGTTTTTAACCCGCTAAAATCCGCTTTTACGCGCTATTCGAATGAATAGCGGATTTTCCCGCTTAAGCCAGCCGCAAAACCCCTACGCGTAGCGCTGAAGGGCCGCGACCGCTATTCGCGCCGCTATAGCCCCGCTATTGGCCGCCATTTACAACACTGAACACCATGTAAACAACTAAAACACCATGGCATCCAAACGGAGCCTAAGGTATTTAGTTGTCATGCCACAAGTTTATATTTGTTACTTTTTTACTTTTAGGCTATGATGATTGTCAAATTTTCTGAGATTAGTAACATGCAATATCTATTGGTATTACATTGGATGGATAACAATGATGATATTAACCAAGTTTTTAGCCCTAAGCCATAATTTGCATATACAAGTGACTGGTTTATTTTATATGATGACAACAAATATTTTCAAATGATGTTTGGGTGTCAGTTTAGTGTTTATGGGTGTCTCACCTCGCGCATGAATTATTTGCTACTAAAGATAGAGCTTCTAATAATGTCTCCTTTGCATTTAGAGAAGTTGGAGGCTTTATCATATTGTTGTAGGAGTTGCAGGAGCTTCAAGCTACTTGCATAATTAATAATTGTACAAGACATCTTATTCACAAACAATATAAGTCTTCAAATATTCTTCTCAATGATTGTTTGAAATAACAATTACATTCTGTTGACTAATGATCACTGATAATTCCAATATTTTTTCTGAATAATAGATTAATGTAGATTTTTTTCCTATTTATGTATCAAGTTAGCTGGCTATGGACTATCTATGTGAGCATCAATGAATTTATTTTCCCAGACACAGTGATATTGTTGGGAGTTTTAGGTATGTGAACATGGTTTTCTAGGATTATTCTTGCAATTGTTTAGTCTAAATTTTAAAGAATCTCATTATTACATGCATTTTGCACTTGATTACTTTATTTATGGGAAATTAAGCAACAAGACAAATGTATATTTCATGGAGTTGCTTGACTTATTAACATTCGGGAAACGACTCTACAATAAGAACCCTTGCGCCCAAGAAAGTTTGGTTATGTGGGTTATTAAATATATTAGTATATTTGGGTAAATATAATCATAAAAGAATGACCTATATGCCCAAACGAAATAATGACAGAAGGAAAATAATTGATGTGATTCGTAATGTTTCCATAAGTTTATTAAATTTCCAGCAACATTTAGCATACTCATCATACTCCATATGCGTGTCTGTATGTTTGCTTAGACCACACCAGTATTAGAGAGGAGATTTAAAAGACTTCTTTATTCAATCAGGATGATAACTATGATGAAATTGATTTCTGTTTTTCAATTATCCAAGGAGCTGGATGTCGAGGCGTCGAAGAAGGCCGACCAGATAAAAATTGAGGCCTGAAGCATGCGGATCAGATCAAGACGCTTGTCGGTGAGATCGGGATCCCGATCCCGATCTCGCCGATTAAGCACTTAGCTTTGCAGGAACCGTCGACGGAGGAAGCGACGTCGGATAAGTTAGAGAGGGTCGGGGTTACCAATGAGCTGAGGGAGTTCGTCAAGGGGATCACTATTAGCACATTTCGAGATTTCCCTATGGAAGGTAATTTCTTTTTTCCTTTTTCGCCTTTTTGGTTCATAATTTGCTAACAAATTGTCGAATCTTGCAAAAAATGAGCGTTTAAGCGTTTTTGGTGGATTTTGTTACGTGCTTATTAGATTCTTGAATTCAAGCTTATAATTAGATTAATGCTTGGGTGTTATTACAAAGTGGTGAATTTTGCGAAAAATAATCTATAAATCTCATGTTTCTCTCACTGTTGTTGTTTCCCCCCTTTCTTCGAGGATTTGATTCCTTCTTACTATTTCCTCAATTAAGAAAATTTGGAATCTTGCTGTGGTTCAATTTTGGGTTTCTCAACTCGATTCGCTTCAAGAACTGGTACTTTCCCTCTTTCTCCTATATCAAGAACATGAAAGTTTTGATTGTTCTATTCTAGAATTTTCCTTCAATTCATATTCGTTTAGTTTTATGATACATATAGAGTACAGGTATTATTGTTGTTTAAACTGTATTAAGATTTCTAACTATTATAATGTGAAATTATTGACCATCCTATGTTTAGTTCATTGTCATGTAAGATTTCTATTGTGGTTGTTGTAGGTGATTGCCTCCAATCTAAATAGACACACTCAGTGTTTCTCTCAGTTCATGGAGTCCTTTATGCAGTTTCCTTCTATTTTTATTTTTCTTGAAAAATCTTTAAAATTTTCATTTAGTTAAGTACCTAATTTGCATTAATTTTAATGCTTCCGCATATTATTATGGTTTAAGCTCTTTAAGATGGGTGAAAAATGAGTAGTTTAACATTTTCTGTTGAAGATGATGTTTCATATGCTAAATTTATATTTGTTGAGCTTAATGTTATAAGCATGTTTAACTTCATGGATGAATATATTTTGAGGAAAAAGGACCGAATTGATGCTCTTAGTTTTGTTTTAGCTAAACCGATGGGAAATACACCATGTATGCTTGAAAGAAGCATTATATCGAGGTGATTAGTCTTGGTTTAATTAGCCTCATCTATATGGATTCGAAAAATTACTTTATTATAATTGCATCATTTATTATAATTGCACCTTGTCCTCAATGCTACTTTATTATAATTGCAACATGTCCTCAATGTAACATATGAATTGATGTCATTCTGATCTTTGTCATGATCGAGAGATCATTTTTCAGGTTGAGAGATTTGCGACAGACTTCGTAGTTGTAAGGTTTCAGACTTGGGATAAAGTTGAAATGCAGTTACTAGATTGAACCCTACAAAACAGGGGTTAGATATTTTTCTCTCTGCCTACCCAAAAGGTATTTGTTTATCTCATAATGTGATGTTTCAAACTTAAGAAGCTCACAACATGTTAATATCACAGGTTTTCAAATGGTTGATCCTCAAATGGCCAAACAATACTAACATTTGATGCACAAGGACAAAAACAAGCACAAATATGAGGATGAAATGTATGCTTAAATGTAAATTATTGAACATTAATTTGTAAGTTAACATGTTTCTCAAATGATAATAGGTAGAATAGGACGAAATGCTCAATATCACATATTCATTTCCACACATGCATGTGCACAGAGGGAGGGAGGGATATTGCTTTCATTTACTTCCATTAATTATTCACATAGCCTAGAATAATGAATTGTTGACATTTTAAATTCTTTCTATTGGATAAAAGTTTTCTATGGAAAAAATGGTACAAATGTGTAATATGACCAGACAAATATATCAAATGGATGATGCATTATAGTCTACGTTACATGGACTCGGGTACGAGTATCCGATACGGGTGCGGATCCGAGTGTCCGATACGAAATTTCTGAAAATTTTGGATACGGGGACACCGTCCTAAATTTGGATACGGGTACGGGGATACGACAATAAAAAAAATATTACAAGCATTCCTCAAAATATTACAAGTATATTGTTGAAATGGAAGGTAAATATTACAAGTATACAAAATATACCCAAATTTTTATTTGCTACCCATATAAATATTACAAGGTAAATATTACAAGTTTTATTTACAAATTTTTTATTTACAAATTTTACCCATACAAATGCTACTCATACAAAATGTTACAAGTATAAAATTTTTTATTTACAAAGACTACCCATATAAATAGGTTCTAGGGCTAGGGTTCCCACATTTTCCTTTTTCCCCTGTGCTCCTTTCCGCCGCCTCCTTCAGATCCAAGGACTGTCTCCTCTTTCCTCTCTCCTTCCTCTCTCTCCTCCTCCAGATCTCACTCCAAATTGATGATTCTAGGGCTCCTTCCTCTCTCCTCCTCCAGATCTCACTCCAGATCTCATTGTTCTCCCGCGAAGCTCGTCTCCCCTCAAATCTCGTCGCCGAATCCTCCCTGGAATCTCGTCGCCGGCTCCTCCCTCGAAGCTCGTCATCCCTTGAAGCTCGTCGTCCCTCGAAGATTGTCGTTTACTCCTTCCTCGACTGCCTTCCCTATTTTCGAGCGAATTTGGTATGTAATTTCATATTTTCTTTCTCTATTTTTTGGTTTTTCGATTCACAAACCTCGTCTTATCCGAGTGCCAACCACCGTATCCGACCCGTATTTCGTACCCGGATCGGTGTCGGGTCGTATCGATGCCGGTACGATGGCCAAACCGTCGTGTCCGAGTAACGTAGATTATAGTATTATAGTCTTGACTAATGTGACAATTTGGTGAAAATAAATAAAACTCCTCTGTTCCTGTAAGAAAGTTAGCATTTAATTCACTAAAGTTATGAAACTTAAAAAAAACTCTCACCTACACTTCTCAGTTGTTATTAGTTTGTTCTTTGTAATAAACCATCAGCATATTCACTATAATTACTTGTATATATTTAATAAGAAAGTGAATAGTGTAGCGTATGCTTGTGTTAATTATTTTCTCTTTTACTCTTTGTTCTATGGTTCTCATAGCATATTACAACTTATCTTTGTTGATTACACCATCTTGCTGAGCATTGTCCTTTTTGTTTCTTTCTAGTGGTTCGTGCTACATAAATATAACTGTTTTGGAATTAATTATGTGGACACAAAAAGCTAGTGATAATTCATAATTCCTATTTCTACATATCAATTTTTTCTTTTATTGTCCAAGTTTGTAGTTATTGATTAAGAAAAGATGTCAATCTTGCAATGATTATCATTTCAAATGTGATGCCAAGGTATGTTCTGAGTGGTCATTTGCTCAAGCCAACTACCAGAAGCCACACTATGTTGCTACCTTTGGAGCTCAATATACTATCATCATTACTGGTTAGGATGGCAGGTATTACTCCTCACTCAAATTTCATTTATGCTAGAAATTATGGTTTTTTTGCTACGCAAATGTTTCTAGTGGTATTTTACTACTAAAAATAATATCAACAAGTAATAGATTTATAGGCACATCTAGAGTGGTATTTTACTACTAAAAATAATATCAACAAGTAATAGATTTATAGGCACATCTAGATTTCTACCAATAACCCACGTCAGGTTTATTTTCTTCTTAATCACTTACAGTAAGTGCTTAAATGCTATATCTAGATATATGCAACAACATAATAGAAAATAATGATAATAAAAACTATGACTAACATGATGACATCAAATTTTGAAGGTATCAGATTGGAAAATTAATTAGCAATATGAGAATGTTACATGCATGATAACTTTGTAAATGACTTTAGTGATTTAGGCGGCAGACTAGACAACAATTAGCAACAATATCAGGGGAATAAACCTACAATCTAAATGTTACACATATTACACATCAGAAAACTTGACTGAAACTGCAAATTCCAGAATAAACCTACAATGATACTATACACACTACATATGAAAAAACTTGATTAGAACTGCATATATGCTGATGATTTGAGCTAAAATGCAATAGGAAGACCAGTAAGAACGTCTGAGATGAGATTTACACCTAAGCACTTAGTAGAAACCTGTGGAGGATTACAACTTACAAGTATGATTTAATGTTTTGGGCAATACTTTTAGTATATTATGTATGGAAAGGTAGGCAATATATGATAGATGTGTACACCCACAAAGTTATTTTGCTTGAACTATTATTGAGCATAAAACCGATGATGAAAACCTTGAAGGCCAAGAAAGTTTAGTTTGTGGGTAACAAATATGTTAGTACATTATGTAAAAAAAGTCGTAAAAGGATCATTCATATACCCAAATAAAATAAGTTGGGATTAAAGATAAATTAATTGATATACCCAAATAAAATAAGTTGGGATTAAGGATAAATTAATTGATGAGTAAATCTTTAGTGTTTTGCTATATTTATCAAATTTCTTGACAACATTTAGTTTTCTAGCCATAGTTTGTATATCCTTTGTAACTTAGGCCACGCCAAGTTCTAGAAAGAGGAGGTTTAAAAGACTTAACGGGAATCGATTCCAAATGGTCTTGGGATTGTCTCTTGCATCTCAAGAAAATTCAGATTTAAACCTCAAACGAGCCAAGTTCGAAGAAGTATTGACTAAACAACAAGATTCATGTATTTATATCATTTTTATCTACTATATTGTCTATTTTATGAATCAGGTACTTAAAAAATTTTCAAGGGGAAAAAGAGATGGGACTCAATGAGGAATTGGATTGCCTGGATGAAGGGCCTAGAAGCATAGCATCACTTTTAGGCCTAGCACCGTGTGAATTAGAGGATCGTTATGCATCTGCAATTTTCTTTGAACAAAACTTTCATTATTTGTACATATATTTGTTGATAACTAACTATTATGATTATTGAGGTGAAGTCCTTTCAATGAAATTATTTCACAATTTCTTAAAAACAATTATAAGATTTTCTTTTCCCCCGCGTCTCGCGGGAGGTATTGGCTAGTATAATTATTAAAAAAAAACAAGCTGACAAAGTTGTCCTGAGAAACTTTGATTTTCTGATGCAATTAATTTTTTTAGTGAATTGATAGAGGGTTTAGGGGCAAAAAAAACACGTAAGAAACAATTATAGTAGAAAACAGGTGATGGCCTTAACAATTAAGAATCTATCAGTTAGGGTCAGGAATCAATATGAATGAGAGCCTTACTCCTTTGTCAGTTCGGCTACTTCTGGCCCATCCAATTTTATGCAAGTTTCCATAATTACTATCATGAATCCCTCCAGCTTTGTAGATGGCGTGTTCCAGTTCTCCTTCAATAGCTACATGGCAAGATTTGAAAGCTTTGTCAAAAGCCCTTTCGCGCTAAGCTGGTGAAATCCATCAAACCATCAATACTAATCTAAGACATTTAGCAAGAAAAAGAAGACCGTCATCATCAATACTTCAATAAACTAAAATATCAAGCAATTAAACAAACACGACCTTTACAAATAGTATGTAACAGTATAATGAACAATGAATGTTAAGAAGCACACGAGCTTTAGTACCAACAGACAATATGTAAGAAAAGAAAGATGTGATTTTGTATGGATATTGTTCCAGATAAATTGATAGCCACAATAACCTGACACGAAAACTAACCAATGGCCAAGATGATGTATTCTGCAGCTGTAACTTGCAAATTATCCAAACAAGCAACATGTGTTAATCTCCTATCCCGCTAAATTCAGATGTAATGTGCAATACTTGCAATTGACAACTATTACAAAAAAAGGAAGATCTGAGACCTAAATCCACATAACACAGAGGCTACTTTCACACCTCGATTATTTTCCTTTTTTGCACAGTCCATTTTAGCCATGAGACCCCAAAAAACACATGATTCAATGAATTAAGCAGATTGGACCCAGAGTAAGACAACAACATACACCAAGGAGGAAGAAGAAGAGATCTTAAAGCACAGAAGAATATCCTTAGATGCAAAAGCATCCGTATTTGGGTGCTCAAGGCATGTCCCTGTTAGTAAGTAATGACGTAACACAGCAGGGATGTCAAAGTAGGCGCACCCATCTTGCTGCAGCTTGTCTTAATCTCTTTGGTTATCTCTAGCTCATGTGTGCAAGATATGAAATACTGATGGTTGCATGTGTTCATGGTCACTCCATAACCCCATTATCATTTTGCAACAAGTTATACTTCACTGAAAGCAGCAAAAGCTTAAGATAATTTGGCTTCATGTGCTTCTGTAGTTCAAGAGATAAATTAAACACTATGGAAACATCAGGCATTAAGCAGCAAGCCCACACACTCAACAAGGTGCAACGATCACCATGCCCAGAAGAACGATGAATACATGTTTGAACTTTGTCTTGACTAATGTCAACCTATCTATTAGCTTCCTTGGATACCGTGAAACTTTTACACTGTATTTTTTTTCTAGTTCTAAACTAATCTTTAGGAAGATGATGTACACTTATCAACTATAGAAGATCTAAAGATATTTCAACTCAACCCCCTTTCCCTCCAACCAAATCCTATGATTGCAGATTTCACACCAAAGCCGTAACCCACTACTGCATTCTGCATACCTCAACAATGCATGACGAAGGTCAAATCCTATGATTTTAAATTTATGAATGCTAGCCATTTCTTAGCTTTGTAGCAACAATTAAGTTAGGTTGTATTGTCATTAGGTAAAAATTTCAAATTAGAAGATCATGGAAAATAAAACCCTAATGAAGTGCACACGATAGGAAATGATTGTAATATACACAGGATTAAAACTAGCATCTTTGACATTAAGAAATTATATGATTAAATACAAAAATAAATTCGCCATCCATCGGAAACCTAGATAAAGTTTTCGAGTGTTCTTACTCGATAAAGGATCCTCGTGCGGCTGCTTCTGAAGCCCTAAAAAAAGATTTCAAAAATAAGAAATCTACATCAAAGTCAAAAGAGGGGAATGATGAAATCCAGAGAAAAAAGAACAATAATTTTACCTTTGTAATCAGTACCGACGTATCCAACACGCATCACGACCTTTTTCTTGCGGAAGGATTCCCATCTCGTCTGCGAGCCCTCTTCACGATCGTTGGGGCTCAGCGACGAGCAGAAAACCCTAATATTTATAGGGTTTTGAAGGAGTGAGCGAGATTTGGGGAGAGGGGAGACGAAGAGAGAGCTAGGGTTTCTGAGTGTGAGTGAAGAGAACGGGAGGCGAAGTGAAGAGGAGGCCGCCATTTTACTGGAGGAGTTGGCCCCCAACGGGGGTCTAAGGAGATAAATGGATGAGAACGTTGAAAAAGGAATTTTGCCGTCCCCTGTGAACTTATCAGATACTTCCCTGTACAATTTCAATATTTAGTCATGCAAAATGCATAGTGTAGAAGGGTAAAAAGGAAATATTGAAATACAAAATTATCCAGAAATAGTTACACGTTTTTCGATCTTTGCGGATTTCAAGGCATAGAAGTAAATATATGCCTTCACAAAATTAAGAAGGTAGAAATGGTGGTTTTTATAATGGGTGGGGTTGTACAATTTAATGAGGAGTAGAGACAAATTTCTATCTCTTGGGCATCATATTTACACATGTTAGTTTGATATCTTTTCGTTATGTGTGTTAACGTTTGCCCGTCATTGTTCGCCATAAATCTATTTGTAGTCCTCCTCTTATTGCATTACTGTCGTACTTAATCATTGTTTTGTTTCTTGTTGCCCCTTTTAACCTTCTTACACTCTCCCCTCTTCTCCCACCTCATTTCCTCCTCGTGTACTGCTATGATGCTCTCAATCGTCAAAGGAACCACGGGGGAATCGGTTCCCGTCCTCTCACAAGTTTCTACTTTTGCAGGCTTCAACCACTCAACTCAGAACAAGATCTTCGGGAAGGAAACGACCCCTCATCAACCTCATCCATCACCATAATTAAATGTTTGATCACTTAACACAACACGTACCTTTACTCTCTTTACCGAGCTCTTTTTCCATTTCCTATTGATCTCATGTGAAAGAATACCATCTCCCTCCTTTCATCAATCATCACCTATACTATTTGTCAATCTACTTTGTCACAATGCTTGTCGCACTCCTGATCTTTTTGTTTATTCTTAGAAGGTTATATCTTAGTACACATCAACTCCTAAATTTTTAACTTTACTGAGTGTTCAAATAAATTTAGTGATTGAAGGTAAAAAAAAATAAAAAATAGCATTTACAATAAAATTGGAGGATGAATGTAAAAATACTTATAATATGGGGGTGCATAACGGAAAAACTCACACTCTCGCGACGCCTGCGCGGGCGTGGAGAATTCCCGCCATTTTCTCCTCAACCCCCTAAATACTCGAAAACTAGCAACGAAGGAAAAAAAAACCCTAACCAGCTCCTCAACAAATGGAGCTCCGCCAGAATCGAACGGGAATCTCCAAAAGAATTCCCCTTTCAAATCTCACCAACGCTCAATCCCTCTCGCCTTCTTCCTCTTCTGCCCTAACCCTCAAGCCCAAGCCCAAGCCCAAACCCTTGGATCCAAGATCAGCTCTCTCTTCGAGCTCCAAGCTCGCCTATGTCTCCGACTCTAGATCCAGCTCCAGCATTTCATCAGGAAGACTCAAAAACCCTAGCCACCGGAGAACGCCCAATTCCGATCGTCCCGCTAAAGATAAATCGTCTGATTTGGGTAATTTCTTCTGCTTGAATTTTAAGGGTTTTGTGTGTGTGTGCGCGCGCGCGCGATGAACAAGTTAGGGTTGGGGATGCTTTGTGGACAACTTCTGATCTCAGCTTCGTATGCTAGGGTTTTGGTAATGTTCTTGAATCTTTCAGGATCTATGATCTTCTCATATATATATTTTTGAATGGGCTAACCAAAGGTTTGTGATTCTTTGAGCCATTTTGACTTCCTCGTAGGAAGGATTATTAGTTTAGTATTGCCTGACTAGCGATTGGCATTGATGACAAGATTTTGAGTTGAATATGCTTATGACTATCTAGTGTAGCGAATCTCGACATGATTTTCTTGGTGCATCTTAAAATGAAGATAACATTGGATTAGATTAAATTCGTGACGACCCTCTTTACCCTTAACTCACAATTGGGAGAATGTTTAAACGGGAGGATTTGCTGATTTCTGACCATGTTTGCAGACATGTGATTAGCACCTCGTTTTTTCAAGAACTTTTGAGTGTACTAGTTGCTTGATTCATTGAAGTCGGACTTAAGGAAAAGAACAATTCCATTAGCTCTGTACCTGGCTATTTTTCTTTTTAGTTTTACCTTATAGTATTTAAATAGCTCCTCCTCTTTACAATCCACCTATCAATTTGGACAAATCCAAGCATTCTGTAGTTTTTTAATGTATGGGATACGCTGCTGAGAGTACCTCTAAGCTATCTGGTTTCCTCTTAAAGATGCAGGTGCTATCAATTCAGACAAATCCAAGAGTTCTGTTGTTCATGCAAGAAAGAAAACTGAGGGAATTCGGGATAAGGGAAAGGTTTCTGCTGCGTCAGGGGCATTCAGCCATCCCTCAGGTGAAAGGGTCAGAACTACTGGGTATGTCCTGTATTTGCTTTTTATTGTCTTAGATGAGTAGCAAAACATGCACAAGCGATAGGCTGGAATGCTGTGGCTTGTTTATGAATGTAGGTACCTTCAAGTGCCGTTTTAGTATGCAATGCACTTTTTACACAACAGTGGTTAATCCTTTAATTATTGCTTCTAATTAGTATTTTGTTGTACTATTTATTAAAGATTAATATGCATTGGTTTGCCACTATTTGTTGTCACTGGTTTGTATTCAGACTTCTTTGGACTTGGATGCTAACATGTTAAATTCAAAGTTTGAGTAGATAATTTTAACTGAATTACAATTCTCTACCAAAACCAGTTTTTTCTTTTGACATTTCACATTTAATAGCTAGTTATTTCCACGATGCCATTGATGTTTCTAATATTACATCATGTGAGTCTATAGGTCCTGTCTGTATGGATATAGAAGGCTCATTAGTGCAAAAAAAATTAGATGACAGAAAAATATTTTGGAATTAAAGAAATATTCTGATAGATTTCCATGCACTGACCTAAGATGACCTTTCTTTCATAGGGGTAAATTCCAAGCTGGAAGTAAAGGTGTTTCTATGGTCAGTACATCTTCAATCCCATATAAAAAAAGCAAGAAGGTATTTTACTATTCAACTTTCACTTTTTTCAATTTTGATGAGTACATTGCTTACCGTTAATTACCATCTTAATCCAACCATTGACTGTTTATTCTAGACATCCCAAGGGAGATTACTTTTTAAGAAAATCCCAAGGAAGATTATTAAAGAGCAGAAATATGCATCATATATTATTTCAGGCTTGGCTCACATTCATTCTGTCTTTCGTATTTCTGTTAGTCTTCTGCTTCTCCTTCTTTCAAGAAATTAAGTTCAGTACTATAGGCCATATCTTCAAGATTTGAACCTTGAATATCTAGTTTTTCTGATATCCTCTTATGCACTCATAAATTTTTTGTTATATTGTGATAAAATATTTGTTAACATTTATTTAACAATCCTTTAGTATAGGGAATAAGCTTGTGTCGGCCTGCATTGCTTACCACTAGGTATTAATTATCCATTTACCATCCTGAATTGTTCCGCTAATCAATATAACAATATCCACACCAGTCTGGTCAGAAAAATGCTCCTGAATTTATTAGTCCCTAGGGAAAAGTATGATATTTTTATATACCTTTATCTTCTTTTTTTCCCTAAGGAAAGTCATATATTTTAATATTGTAGTTGCAAAAATACCATTCACGGCTTATGCTAGGGAATCCGTTTTATTGAGATGTTAGTTTGGGTATTTGGTGCTGGTAATTTTTATTTACTTGTAGAAACTCAAAATAGAAATCTGGTGACACAATTATTTCTGGGTAGATTTGAGTAGAGGGTGCAAAAATACTATAGTAACTCTTAATCCGGATGGACAATCATTGTATGAATTTTTTTTCATTATCTCCTGTTTATCATCTTTTCTCTTTTAATCTTTATCTTGCTTTCTTCTCTTAGAAATATTTATCTTGCTTCCTACATCGCTAACTGTTGGGCGCAGAGTCACGCCCACCGCCGCGGAAGCGATATGTACTGAGAGAGAGCCCTGGCTTTTGTTGTCACAAAAGCACAAGTCAACCTCGATATCTGTGTTTCGCGAAGGAAACCCAGACTCAGTAGCGAAATATCTCAGCGAAGTGAGATATCCACTCTTCCTCTCATCAGCGCAAGACCGAATTTTGAGGGATCCTACAAGCAATAGCCAACAACCTAGAAAACAGTAAATACACGAGATTTACGTGGTTCGGCAAACTTGCCTACGTCCACGGGAGGGGGTGAGGGGAGATTCCACTATAAGGAGAACACCGACGACTTGTACAATCCACAAGCTCGTCTCAAAGATCTGATTTTTACCCAAAAGAAATAAACCTCTCTTTTGTAAATCCCTCTTTTTCTCTCTCCTCTTCTCAGATCCGAAAAAGAAAAAATAAACTGCTGCCGAAATAAACTGCTGCTTTTTCCCTTGCTGCCGAAAAAGGACCCGCCGCAATTTTCTTCTCCAAAAACCGCTGTTCCCAATTCCGATTTTAACTTCTGCTGCCGAGTAACTTCCCCACTACTTTTCCACACGAAACCCTAGGTAGTCATAGGTATTTATAGGAGATTGTGGGCTGTTGAAGAATCCCGCTGGACTCCAAAAACCAGGCCAAACCAGCTGTGCCACTTTACCGCGGCTGCCTACGTACCCTCCACCGGGATCAAGCTAACCGTAGTTCTAGGATTGTTCTCCATCGTAGTCTCCACCTCACCCCATCACCGCCCCGAAGGGCCATGTCCTCTCGGGCAAATCAACACGGGCTAATATGAAGCAAGTCCAAGCAATGCTTAAACTTGCTACCTGTGACCACCTTGGTTAACATGTCTGCGGGATTCTCATTCGTGTGCACCTTCATGAGAGAAATATCACCTTCCTCTATGACATCCCGCACGAAATGATACCTGACATCGATATGCTTGGTACGAGCATGATGAACTTGATTCTTCGCCAAGTGAATCGCACTTTGACTGTCGCACCACAAGTTCACGTTCTCCTGCTCAATCCCCAAATCGTCTAGAAGACCCCACAACCACAATGCTTCCTTCACTCCCTCCGCCATGGCCATATACTCGGCCTCTGTAGTAAAAAGTACCAATGTAGCCTGCAACATCGATCGCCAACTAACTGGAGCTCCATGTATCCTGAATACATAACCAGTAGTAGATCGCCGTTTATCTAGATCACCCGCATAATCAGAGTCAACAAACCCGTCAATCTGACATGTATCTCCACCAAAACACAGACCCGTATCCGCGGTACCTTTCAAGTACCTCAGGACCCATTTCACCGCTTCCCAGTGCGCCTTTCCCGGATTCGCCATGAACCTGCTGACCACACTAACCGCTTGTGAAATATCTGGACGTGTACACACCATGGCGTACATCAAACTGCCAACTGCACTAGCATAAGGAACACGCTCCATGTGTGCCTTATCTTCCGCTGTAGTGGGAGATTGTTTACCTGAAAGCCTGAAGTGTGGAGCCAATGGAGTCGCCACCGACTTAGCACTTTGCATCCCGAACCTCGCGATCACCCGCTCTATATAGCCCTTCTGACTCAAGAACAATCGCCGATTCGCCCGCTCTCTTCTAATCTCCATACCCAGTATTTTTCTAGCAGCGCCCATGTCCTTCATCTCGAACTCTTTACCAAGTTGAGATTTCAACCTATCTATCTCCACCCCGCTCTTAGAAGCAATAAGCATGTCATCCACATACAAAAGGAGATAGATATAATCACCTCCACGAAGCTTTTGAATGTAAACACAACAATCGTAATCGCTTCGGGAAAACCCATGCTTTAGCATGAAGGAGTCAAATCGCTTGTACCACTGCCGAGGAGATTGCTTTAGTCCATAGAGTGACTTCCTCAAGCGACATACATGATGCTCCTTATCCTCAACCTTGTAACACTCAGATTGATGCATGTAGATCTCTTCATCCAAGTCTCCGTGCAAGAAGGCCGTTTTAACATCGAGTTGTTCCAGCTCAAGATCACCATGAGCAACAATACTCAATAGCACCCGAATAGAAGTGTGTTTCACCACCGGAGAAAAGATCTCATTGTAATCCACACCCTCTCTTTGTGCAAACCCCGTTTTAGCACTAGCCTCGCCTTTCTCGTGTACACCGAGCTCTGAAGAATCTTCCTTTCTCTTATATAACCCACTTACAACCAATAGCTTTTCTTCCTACGGCAATGGACCACTTCCCATGTTTGGTTTTCCGAAGAAGATTCCATGCTCCTCCTCCATCGCAGCCAACCAACTCTCGCTATCTTTATCTCGAATAGCTCCTTGAAGGAGACCGGCTCATCTTCCTCCACCGAGAGTGCGTATTCAACAAATTAACGTGCCCATAGTGCTTCAGGGGTTGATCAGCCCCCAGCTTTTGTTACCCTGCTTGTATACTCGCGATTGGCCTAGTGGAAGCCAAAGTATCCTCGAGCTGCTTATTGTTGTAGTGCATGTGTATTTCCTGCCTGGAACCTCCTCCTGCTCAAGCTCATCATCTACCTGATTTCCCACTTGAACATGACTAGAACCTGGTTGGTCTTTAGGTTCTATCTCAATAACCTGGGACTTTGAAGTCCCAACAGTCCCAACACCATCATCCTTGGGCGCCCTAGCAATCATGGATTTTTCATCAAAGGTAACATCCCTGCTGATCACGAACTTTGAATCTTCTGTACACCAAAGGCGGTAGCCTTTTACGCCCTTCGCATACCCTAAGAATATCGCCTTCTTAGCCCTCGCGTCAAGCTTTCCCTCGTTGACGTGATAATAGGCGGTACATCCGAAAATTCTGAGCCTCTCATAATCTGCATGTTCCCCTGACCACACCCTATAGGGTGTATCACCATCTAGTGTAGAATGTGGAGAACGGTTCACAATGTAACATGCTGTAGCCACCGCTTCTGCCCACCATTCGTTGCCCAATCCAGCATAAGATCGCATACTCATTGCCTTCTCCCGCAATGTTCGGTTCAGTCTCTCCGCGACCCCGTTCTGCTGTGGTGTTGACCTGACTGTCCAGTGTCGAACAATGCCCTCCTGATCACAGAACTCCTTGAAAGCACCGTCTGTATACTCTGTACCGTTGTCAGATCTTAGTGTCTTCAATTTCTTGCCCGTCCTGTTCTCAACCATTGCTTTCCACTTCTTGAATGTCTCGAATACCTCATTCTTATGCTTAAGAAAATAAATCCAAGCATACCTAGAGTAATCATCTATGAACGAGACAAAATACCTGGAACCACCCTTGGAAGTTGTCTGAGCCGGACCCCAAACATCCGTGTGCACATAATCTAGTATACCTCTGCTCTTGTGATTGCTTTTCAAGAATTGGACCCTGTGCGCCTTTCCGTACACACAATCCTCACAAAAATCCATGCAAGGTTTCTTCAGATTCTTCAGCAAACCCTCCTTACCAAGCAGAACCAGACCCTTCTCTGACATGTGCCCAAGCCGCCTATGCCATAACCGGGTGTGCTCACATGGGTCTCCACCACTTCCATCAGTTCCAACCGCTGCATCTCCTGTCACCGTCGTACCCGAGAGAGTATATAGATTACCGTGACGAACACCCTTCATCACTGTTAGGGAACCTCGAACAACCTTCTTTACTCCGTTCTCTGTAACAATCTTGCAGCCACCGGAGTCTAATGCACCCACTGAGATAAGATTCTTCCGCAAGTCGGGAACGTGCCGCACGTCCGTTAGGGTTCTGACCACTCCATCATGCATCTTGATTTTTATATCACCGAGCCCCACCGTTTTACAAGCATGGTTATTCCCCAGCAATACAGTTCCACCATCAATGCTCCTATAGGTAGTAAACCACTTCCTATTTGGGCACATGTGGTAAGAGCAACCTGAATCAAGTATCCACTTACCGGAGGTATCTTCGCCACCCGTAACAACATAGCATTCTTTATCGCTCCCTTCCTCCGATGCGTAACTCGCCTCTTCCTTGCCTTCTCTTCTCTCGGTCTTGTTGTTGTTCTTTTTCCCACCTACTCTCTTGTTAGGACAGTCGACCTTGAAATGCCCAACTTCACCGCATTTGAAGCACGCTCGTCCCGCAAGGGGTCTCGATTTAGATCTAGACTTTCCTCCCTTGCCTTTTCCTCGCTCATTGCTCCTTCCTCTAGCAAACAATCCCTGCGCTTGTTCTTTGTTACCACCAGTAGTCATGTCACCGGTTGCAATCTTTCGAAGGTCATCCCCTAGAAGCGCCGTTCTAGTCTCATCCATCGTCAAATTGTCTCCCACAAGCATCAATGTTTGCACCAGGTTCTCATAAGACTTCGGCAGAGATAGAAGTAGTAGAAGCGCCTGATCCTCGTCTTTCACTGTCACCTCAATGTCTTTCAAATCCGATATGATCCTATCGAACTTGTTGATATACTCCCGGATTGACGAGCCCTCCTCCATCTTGCAAGTATACAATTTGGATTTCAAATAGATCCGGTTTGTTAGACTCTTCGTCATGAAGGTGCTTTCTAACTTCAACCACACGCCCGCAGCCGTTTCCTCTCCATCTACCAAGAAAGCTATATCCCTTTCAAGGCAAAGGATAATCGACGCTCGTGCTTCCAGATCCAGCTCCTCCCAATCCTCATCAGACATAGTTTTGTGCTTCTCTCTTCCAGCCAAAGCCTTGTGCAATTTTTGCGAAATCAGCGAATTTTTCATCTGCATCCTCCAATAGGAAAAATCATTTTTCCCATTGAATTTTTCAATCTCGTATTTACCAACTTTACTTGTTTTACTTGTAGAAGCCATTTTCTGCTTGTATTATGTTAATCCGCTTCTCTCAGGAATTTTTAACAATTATTTGTGTTTTACCACACAATATTCAACCACCACCTCAGATCAGAAATTTTACCACCTCCAGTCTGAATAAGGGCTCTGATACCAATTGTTGGGCGCAGAGTCACGCCCACCGCCGCGGAAGCGATATGTACTGAGAGAGAGCCCTGGCTTTTGTTGTCACAAAAGCACAAGTCAACCTCGATATCTGTGTTTCGCGAAGGAAACCCAGACTCAGTAGCGAAATATCTCAGCGAAGTGAGATATCCACTCTTCCTCTCATCAGCGCAAGACCGAATTTTGAGGGATCCTACAAGCAATAGCCAACAACCTAGAAAACAGTAAATACACGAGATTTACGTGGTTCGGCAAACTTGCCTACGTCCACGGGAGGGGGTGAGGGGAGATTCCACTATAAGGAGAACACCGACGACTTGTACAATCCACAAGCTCGTCTCAAAGATCTGATTTTTACCCAAAAGAAATAAACCTCTCTTTTGTAAATCCCTCTTTTTCTCTCTCCTCTTCTCAGATCCGAAAAAGAAAAAATAAACTGCTGCCGAAATAAACTGCTGCTTTTTCCCTTGCTGCCGAAAAAGGACCCGCCGCAATTTTCTTCTCAAAAAACCGCTGTTCCCAATTCCGATTTTAACTTCTGCTGCCGAGTAACTTCCCCACTATTTTTCCACACGAAACCCTAGGTAGTCATAGGTATTTATAGGAGATTGTGGGCTGTTGAAGAATCCCGCTGGACTCGGGATTGGCCAGCTAGACTCGGGATTGGCCAAGGACTCCAATCCTTATCTCCACACACTGTTTTTTTTTTTTACCCGCTGGCTTTTAGCCAAAAGCTGGAGCACACGTTCACACTAACACATTATTGCATCCTTCCAACTGGTTGATTTTGCATGAACATTCCACAGATACAGCAAAACATAATACTGGATGATGAGGTCCTTCCACAATCCTCAATGTCTCAAGATTATATCGAGAGGCAAAGAGCATACTTTGCTGAAATAGATGCATACGATCTTGCTGAGGAGGTTGTCTCCGAGAGCGAATTAGAATAGGAAGCAGATAAGAGTCCTCTATTTTCTGAAGATATGTGCAGATTGGTTACAGGTAAATCATACATTCTTATACATTATACGTTAAGGAACTGGGGTTTTGGCAAGAGATCCAGTTCCTAAAGTAAATTTCATTCGCTGTAGCTCTCACACAAATTTGTGGTGGCATTTTTCGTTGAGAACTCAATATTACTGTTTCCATTTGAATATGGAACCTGAATGTAACAAAGACCTGAACATTTTCTCCTCTGCAAGAAAAATGTAAATTTCTCACTGTTCCTCCTATCAGCCAGCTATCATTATGCTTTCGCAGGGAATAGATGCTCACTAACTTCATCAATTAATTGGATGAACTAGATTCAAAATGTACACAAAGAGAGTGAGGGTGGAGAGAGAAGTACAATAGAAGGTTTTTATGTCTCCCCGTCTATTTAGGTTATACTAGATTAGATGCATGTGCATTGCACGTGGTTAAATATTATTATCTTTTTTTTGTTCTATTTTCTTGCTTAACTCAGTTGTGAAATATTTCTTTTAATTTCACATGAAAAAGTAAAATAATTTATTGTCTATATACTATATAGTTAATCAAAAATATTAAAATTATCATAGCCAAAGTCAAAATTACACGGTCAATTCACATTAAGTACAATTTAAAATAAATAGTACATGAAGGTCAAGACTCTTTTATTTAAAAAAAAATTATGCAAATAATTTCATTCTCATCGCAATCCTCTGTTTTCATCTTATAATTTGCACGAATTCACAGTATTTTATACCCTTTACAATTTTAATAATTAAATTCCTGTTTTCATCTTATAATTTGCACGAATTCACAGTATTTTATACCCTTTACAATTTTAATAATTAAATTCCACTTTAATGTTATATCTTTGCACGAATTCACAGTATTTTATACCCTTTACAATTTTAATAATTAAATTCCACTTTAATGTTATATCTCATGAGACTAATAGGCTCCTAAGGAAAGATCATATACCAAAAACCATGGATCTTAATTATGAGAATTTTTCCAAGGTAATATTATTATATTCTATATGTTTATGTTCTGGATTGTCAAAGCAAGCTATGAAATGACTAACTAATATATTTTTATGCTAGTATGTATGTTTTTCTTGGTAGAATGAATTGTTATTTTTTAAGACATAAACTTGGATTATAGCTAACTTTGACAATTTCACGTAATTAGAGATTTGCTCATGTCTTTAAATTATGTTTATTTTTTTAATGAGCATGAGATTCTTATTTATTTGAAGATCCTTCTCCATTTCATACAATTAATCTTGTAATTCAGAATTTTTTTAGCTCAACTACTTCAATTATAACTTCTATCAGGATTCATCTCTATTTCTTAGTACGTAGTGGTTCGTGTTACTCTGATGGGATCTAGTTATTCTAATTCAAGTCTGTCGAAATAATTGCAAGTGATGAAGACCATAAATCTTTTGAAATGATATATTTCATTAACATACCTATTGAACATTTCAAAAGCTCGCAATTGTTGATGACCCTAACTATTTTAAAATGATATATATTGAACATCTGATGATCAAAACATCAGAAGAACTTAAATGTGGCTAAAACTAATTTATACTACTTTTCGTGCATGTTTATAAATTATAACATTAGAAATATAAAATATTTAAAATGAAATGCATTAAGTTAGAATTTAGTTTTAAATTATAAATTATAACATTAGAAATATAAAATATTTAAAATGAAATGCATTAAGTTAGAATTTAGTTTTAAATTAAGAGCCCTTATTTGAATAATTTAAAATATTTAAAATGAAATGCATTAAGTTAGAATTTAGTTTTAAATTAAGAGCCCTTATTTGAATAATTTTAGATGCATAATTTCTTTGACTTAACATACATATTGAACATTTCAAAAGTCTAAATATCTAAATTTTTACTTTTCAAACTACCTTTTTCAGTCATAAAAAAATAAAAAATAAAAACATTTTCTACTTAGTTGGTTGCTAATAGTAAAATATTGTATTTTTCCAATATAGTAAATTATTAAGAAAACAATATATCTCATGTTTAGTGCAAATAACTATGCGAATAAAGTAAAATATTTTAAATGCTAAATATCAACAAAAAACCGTGTTAACTTTGGATGATAATCAGATAATCACGCATAACTTTAAAAATATCAAAACATCCACTATATTTTAGGGGTTATCAGAAAAACCCTTTTAACTTTGAGATTTTTATCAAGAAATCACTCCAAAAGCGTAATTTTAGGGGTATTTTCTAACAAAATCACAAAATTGAGGGGTTTTTTTGAAAAGATTTAAAAGTTAAAGGGAGTTTCTTATAATTACTACTTAATGAGATTTTATAACGTTATATCTAAAAATAATGGATTAATTTTATAAAACCCCCTCATTTATTTTAAGGTGAGGAAACCCTCTCAAGTTTAGGCATATTGTAGATAACCCCCATCAACTATAAAACTTTGAAATAATCTCTTGAACTTTCCTCACTTAACTCCCCTCAAATATAGAGATTCTCTAAGAAAACCCCATCAACTATTTTTATTTGAGAAACTCCCTTGGATTTGAGCTTAATATAGATAATCCTCCTCAAGTTTGAAAATTTAAGAAATCACGATGAACTCTTCTCACTCTACACCCTGAAAGTTAACATTGTTACCCTATTAAACCTATAAGTTTACATTTTTTTCACTTAATCTAAAATATTTTTTGGAAAAAAAATCCCAAAGATCGGATGTTTACATTTTAAAGATTTTTTAGAGGTTTTTCATAATTATTGAAATTTTCAAGAGGTTGATTATAATTTTTAGATGTTTAGGAGATTTGCTTCAAATTATAGATTTTTTTGGGGCATGTTTGTACTTTTTATATTTTTTGGGTTTTTTAGTAATTTTCTTGATGGTACTTTGCAATTTTCTATTTTAAAGGGCTTGTTTATAAAGTTTTAGATATTTAGAGGGCTGTATACAATTTAAAATTTTTTAGGATGCTATTTGTCATATTTAAATTTTTTTAATTTTTTGTTATTTTCATATTTTCATGTGTTTTTTTGGAAATTTGAACTTTTAGGGGTTTGTTTTTTAATTTTCAAAATTTAAAGGAGGTTGTTTTTACTTTTTAGATTTCACATAGGTGGTTTTTAACCTATACAATTTTTATGGATTATTTATAATTTTAGAATGATAAGAGTCTTTTTCACATTTTTAGATTTTCTAAGGGTTTTATTTTTTGCAATTTCGTGAAACCCTAAAAATTAACATAAAGGTAAATCTCACTAAGCCCCCAATAATTTTTACTATTTGGAACTAAATATCAAATATATTTAAAACTCAAACTAAATGTCCAATCAAATTTTGGCAGAAAGTCCTCAAAATTAATATCATTAATTCATGTATAGTCAGATGATCAAAGTATACCCTAATTCACTTAAGACCTAGCAATTTTTAGTAAAAAACCCAAAATAACAGTCATTTATAATTTTTAGATCTTTTTAGAGGTTTTTTTTTTATTTAATGGGATTTTTAAGAGGTTGATTGTAATTTTTAGATTTTAGAAGTGTTTGTGACTAATGTTTGATTTTTTGGAGGGTTGTTTTTACTTTTTATAATTTTTTAGATTTTTTTAATCTTTTCGGGGTTTCTTTTTAGCTTTGTAACTTAAGGGGTCAATTTATTATTTTTAGGATGTTTAGGGGGCTACTTATAATTTAAAATTTCTAGGATTCTATTTGTAATATTTTACTTTTTACGAGTTTTTTTGTAATTTTTATATTTTTCGCATGTTTGTTTGAAATTTTGAATTGCTAAGGGTTGTTTTTAATTTTTAATTTTTAATTTTTAAAGGGGTTTGTTTGCGTTTTTTGGATTTTTAGGAAGTTCTGTGTAATTTATGAATTTTTTTGTGTTATTCATAATTTTAGAACTTTAAAAGTATTTTTTTCAATTTTAAGATTTTCAAGGTTTTTTTACAATTTTAATTATTAAGGGGCTTATATGTTTTTTGTAGCTTTTAGAATTTTTTGAGTATTTGTCACGCCCCACTTCCCAAAATACCGGGGAATCGGGACGCAAGCAAGCCTGCGACGTATTAAACTGAGGAGAGATAAGTGCTAGACCCCGTCTTCTTAATCTAATACACTAAGCGTCAAGAAATACAAACGAAGGTACGAGTCCCCGATCAAAGTAGCGAGAATATAATAAACAACTCATAACAGAAAATGAACATCACAAACACAAGCATGTATACTGGTTCTACCTTCCCGGTGTACATCCAGCCCCCAAGTAAATCCCGCTTGAGATTTCCACTATGATTTTAAAACCTTACAAAATCAAAAGCAAACCTGACCAATTTGCAAGACCATGCAAATTGCAACACCAATTGACAAGACCATGTCAATTGCCACCCAATCTCTAAACCAAGAGATCAACCCTCTCAAACCCGAGAGAAATCCTTTTTAAAGCAAGAACACAATTGATCCTATAAGCCTTGAATGTGTAGTGAAGTGTTGCAGTGGCTTAGGAATATTCTTTTAACTCTCTGAATATTGCCTATACAATCTCTAAGAATGATTGAAACCAAGGCAATATCAGAAACTCTCTTTTTCTAAACACTTAGCATGAAAATCTAGAAAATTAGAGAGTGAATATGCACAAAATGTTTGATCTTGCAAGTGCAAAACTTGGTGCTTGTTTTCTGATGTTTAAACCTATTTATAGCCTCTGAAATGACATAATTTTAAACCCAATTAACGTCCACAAAACGGCTATAAATAGTCACTTATTCAAAACCTGAAATCTAGAAAAACTGCATCTGTAGTCGACTACAAGTCATAGTAGTCGACTACACTGAGTCTAAACAGACTCTGTGAAGTCAGAAAATTGCTTAGTAGTCGACTACAAGGCATAGTAGTCGACTACACTGTACACTCACAGATTCTGAAATTTTTCTTTGAGTATTTTGACTATAACTTTCTCATCCGATATCGGAATGAGGTGATTTAAGATTTGTTGGAAAGGTCTTGAAGAGACCTACAAGTTTGGTCTTTTGAGTTTTTCCAGATTCTAATTGGTAACGGGTGTAAATAAAATGTTTTAAGACTCACCTAATATTTATAAACTCTAATGGCTAACATAGGGGATTTCTATTGTTAACCTACACACTAAGCATGTGTTAGTGTGTTCTAACACTATGTGTGTACATGTGTGTGAGTGATCAAGGCTTGTACAAATTTCTAAGCAAAGAAAATATAAAAT